TTCCAAAAATCGTGAGTGTGTGTATGGGTGTTCAACAGGTTCCACACAAAAGATCTCAACTTGGTAAGTTCTTGTTTAACATTATGGTTTAACTTCAAGTTTACACTAAAAACCTCTGCTTAAGCCACTCTCATTTCATGATCATGCTCTTAAAACTCCTTAGAATTCGAAGATCCCCTATCAAGAAGACTTCTAGGGCTGAGATCCTCCTCAACCTTCATCAATGACCAAAAACAACAACACAAAGTGAGTTCATACCCCCTATTTTCGATTTTTACTATGTTTTGGGGGAGAATACAAGTTGTGTTGTGTAGATCTATTTTTTTATGCATGCATATGTGTGTTTTCATGTTATATGTTGTGTTTATGTTATGAAAACATGCTAGATCTTTACCAAACTCAAAATATCTACTATATTTGGTGATGTTTGAAACTAAACCATCTTATGTGACATACTATGTGGTGGAAAGGATTAAATATGCTAAAAACATGTGAAAACTAACCAAAATCGTATAAAGGGCCATTTTTGAGAAAATAAACAAAAAGTGAGGTTCTTATGTAACTCACGGTTTTGAAAGGACCAAAAGAGTCATTTTTAAAGCAAAATGGATCTTTGTGATGTTCATGGTCTTATAGGGGCCAAAAGTGCAAAATTTTCACAAATAGGCTTCTATATGGGCCTTCACGGTTTTAATGGCCAAATTTGCCAATTTTCACAAAAATGTGTCTTATTTATGTAACTCACAGTTATTAGGGGTCAAAAAGGATTATTTATGTTTAACATGACTAGTTGTAATATTTGAGACCCTACAAGGACTAAAAAATGTAAATATTTTCACAAATGGGCCTTATTTGGGCTTCTCACGACTTTGGGCCAAAATTTCTAACTTTTTAGACTTTTGTGGGCTTAAATGTTATTTTCAACAAAGTTCTGCCAAAAATATAATTTTTTTATAAGAATAGTTAAAGATGTGAAATTATTAACATTTGGGCCAAAAAGATGAAACTGTCTATAATGGGCCAAAAATGCACATTTTTACAAAGATCAAGCCAAAAATGATATTTTTGACAAAAGCGAGTTAAAAATGTTATTTTTACAAAAAGTGAGCCTTTTATGCCATTTGGATAACTAACTGAATTAAAACAAGCAATAATATAACAAATGGGCTAATTTTGCCATTCTCATTTTATTGGGCCTTAGTGACCTATGTATATGCTTGATAAGTCCTGATTACTCTTTACATGTTTATAGGGCCTTGTTGACCTATTTACATGCGCGATGGACCTTGGATACTCCTTGTGTGCTATTTGGGCCTATAAATACCATACATGTGAAATGGGCCTTATTTGTCCTTTTACATATATTTTGGGCTCAAATTATATAATCTCATTCCTTATCAGCCTAGAAATGATTTACATGTTTAGTGGGCCTTACTCGTTCATGTACATGTTCATTGGGCCTGGAATGTGCTTTGTATGTTTCTCTTTGTGTAAATTCAATTAAAGATCTAGTGAGACGTGTAGGTTGACACCTATTGAGAGTACGCCCGTAGCCTGTAGTTATAACGAGAGTCTATTGGAGGGAGAGCGGGTATTTGTGTATAGATCTATATGGGGATGATACCCCACACATGAGTTGTTCGCTACAGTTAGACTAAACCAGTATAGGGTGACGAAAACCTTACCTTATTCCGTCGGCGTTCATAAACACCAAGATAGGCGAAATTCTCATTATCTAGTATGGTTATAACGACTCACTTATAGGAGTTAACGTTATAAATTTACGGGAGACCATTCTCTTTTCTCATTGGATTACTCGGTAACATACTCGGGCCGGTACTCGACCTCGGGAGTTGATATACTAGCATTCTCTTTCACAGACAACATCGGGTTGTCTGGGGGCATTCTCTTTACATTCTCTTTACATTCTCTTCATTCTCATGTTGCATACTAGTAAACAATAACACACATGCATTAATACAAGATCGGACACGAACATACTAAATGGTTTTCAGAAAATATAGGATTTTCTGGTGGTTACAAAATTATACAAATCATTTTCTCAAACATGCTTATGGACTCACCAACATCTTTATGTTGACCTTTTCAAATTAACTTGTATTCTCAGGAAACCATTGAGCAGGTTGGGCAGAACGAACTAATGGACAATGTGTTATATTTTGTTTCATTATACTTTAACTATTTTGGCATGTAATATTCAAAACACAATACTCGATGTAAACAATGTATGTTGTTAGATTACATGTGTGATGATGATGATGTTATGTTTCAATTATATACTATGTGATGATACTACAAAAATGGAGTCACGCACAAGCCCCAGATGTTTCCGTCGTCTGGTTCGGGGGTGTGACAGATTGGTATCAAAGCATTGTTTATAGTGAACTGACATATCTAATCATATAAGATATACAACTATAAATACAATGGGACTAAAACACTCTGAATAAAATAAAACCTAAGTGTACATTAAAACTATAACCCTAAAAGTCTCTGGAGGAAATTGAACACCGTGGTTAAACCCAAACAATTATGTAGTCATCTTGGTGATAAATATAGCCTGATCAAATATATTTATTCAAAATAGGACCAACATGTGTTTGGGAATAATCATGGTGGGAAATGAATCTAGAAACTTACCTCGTATCCCAGAACTCTAAGGAAATCAAACTTAATCAATTAAAATACTATAGGATTATTTTGAAATTCTACCTACATATACTCTCCTTACACACCTCTCACCCTTCTAGTTTCGCACACAGTCTTCATGGAAGAAGTACAACAAGGAATCCTTTACTATCAGGCTTTGGTAGCTAATGGGCTAATTGAAGGAGACCATATGATGGGTCAAGAGACAGAACTTGGTGTTGGGTTTGAGGAGTACATGGAAACAGACTACGAGTTTAAAGAACCCGGTGAGGTTATGGAAGAAGACGGGGACACTAATGAAGTTCCAAGTAAGCTTCCTACTTCAGAGGTAGTGTAGGACCACTCTGCAGTACCACAGGATCCCATTGACAAGACTCGCTCCTTAGAGGAGGAGGTTTCCACCCTTTGGCAACAACTACTAGCAGTAGAGTCTAGAGCCGTGCAGGTAGAGCACGAGAGGGACAAGGTCACCAGGGAGATGAGCGAGATGGTTGATCTCGTGGCGCGACATTTTGGCATGTGATTTCACCACCAGGCCCTTCTCGTTGCAAGTAGCATCCGTTCATCTGCTACCTGCTACTGATAGGATTTTCTTTTATGTATTACTCCATGTACTATCGACTACATGATTAAGTGATTAGACTACTCATGGAGTCGTTACTCTGCCGGATTTTATATCATTTCATGTATTGTGTGCCTTATGTAGGCAAATTTTCATGTACTCTAAAGATTCTCATTAATGAAAACGGTTATATATTTTCTCATGATGTTGTTATCGGCAATGTGTTCTATTACTTTTACTACATGTTGATTGTATGCACTCACTTACTTACACATAACCAAATCACCGACAATGTTCTATAATCAAGAAATCATGAAACTAGAATACACTGGTTACTCAACATCTTTCCGTTCCATGACAGAAAAATTCCTCGAAGACCGATCCGCAGAAACCGCAACGCACCACTACCAGACCCTTCTCGTCGTGCAGGCAGAGCACATGAGGGACGAGGTCACCAGGGAGATGAGCAAGATGGCTGATCTCGTGGCGCGATATTTTGGCATGTGATTTTACCACCAGACCCTTCTCGCCACAACTACTAGCAACAGAGGCCAGAGCCCTGCAAGCAGATCACGAGAGGGACGAGGTCACCATGGAGATGAGCGAGATGGCTGATCTCGTGGCGCGACATTTTGGCATGTGATTTCAGCACCAGACCCTTCTTTCTGCAAGTAGCATTCGTTCATCTGCTACCTGCTACTGATAGGATTTTCTTTTATGTACTACTCTATGTACTATCGACTACATGATTAAGTGATTAGACTACTCATGGAGTCGTTACTATGTCAGATTTTATATCATTTCATGTATTGTATGCCTTATGTAGGCAAATTTTCATGTACTCTAAAGATTATCGTTAATGAAAACGGCTATATATTTTCTCATGATGTTGTTATCTGCAATGTGTTCTATTACTTTTACTACATGTTGATTGTATGCACTCACTTACTTACACACAACCAAATCACCGACAATGTTCTATAATCAAGAAATCATGAAACTAGAATACACTGGATACTAAACATCTTTCCGTTCCATGACAGAAAGATGCCTTGAAGACCGATCCGCAGAAACCGCAATGCAACACCACCAGACCCTTCTCGCCGTGCAAGTAGAGCACGAGAAGGACGAGGTCACCAGAGGATCGAGGTCACCAGGGAGATGAGCGAGAAGGCTGATCTCGTGGCGTGATATTTTGGCATGTGATTTTACCACCAAACCCTTCTCGCCGCACACTACTAGAAAAACAGCCTTTTACGACGCTCGTTGCGCGTCGTAAAAGGCTCAGACGACGCGCAAATGCGCGTCAAGGAAGGCCCTGTCATAAAGAGAGACGACGCGCATTTACGACGCTCAATTACGACACGCAATGCGTATCAAGGAAGGCCCTGTCATAAAGGAAGACGACACGCATTCGCGTGTCGTAACCTTACGACGCGCGTGTTAATGACACGCAATGCGTATCAAGAAAGCCCCTGTCAAGAAAGGCCATGTCATAAATGAAGATGACACACATTTTTGCGTATCGTAAATTTAAATATTTAAAAATATATATATTTATATATTTATTAATTTTTAAATTAAATTTGCATTTAATGTGTCATAATAGAAATAAAATACCATATACAAAAAAATACAATCCATTGAATAAACTTAAATGTCATACAATTCTATTTTTTACAATATATAAATTTGCATTCATCTAATCTACTCTATGTTTCATACTAACAATTGAAATGAAGAATACAACACTTGCATTCTCAGCATCTTATCGCTTTCGGCTTGAGCTTTCTTTTCCACTTCTAACTCGAGAGCTATTCGCTTTCATCAACCCTGTAAACACAACACAAAATCACTTGTCATTTTCATTCGCTTTCCAATTTCCATTGTCTGTTTTCCTATTTCCTTAGTTTGTGTACAATGGAGTAAGCAAGTGTGTATTGAAGCACCTTCCATGTAATAGTACCCCCTTGACCAATACTAGTATCAGAACATAAAGCACCTTTCTGCACAAAAAACAACAATAAGTCAACAAAGAGTTAAAATTATTTAAAATACTATATGAACCTTCTCAAGTGATACACATGGACCAAGAATCTCCTGAATTACAATTTACAATTAACAACAAAAACACAAACTGATTGAGTCAACTTTAACATATGACATAACAATGTGTTAAGGTTGAAGAGATTAAATCAAACCTTACTTTGATGACAAACCCAATTCAGTGTCACCTGATTGGAAAACACGCAAATATACCTCATCTCATTTCACCTCCAAAATCAACAAATTCAAATATCCATGGTTTGGACCTAATAACATGGGAATACAAAAATACAAATAATATTTAATAACATTGTCCCAAATATAAAACAAAAACAAGAATTAATATTTGTTGAAGCCTACTCACTTTGGGCCAAACGTAATGTGACAATTGAGTAAAAAAGATCATAATAGAGTGAGCCCACTTTTATATATTTGTGTCAACTGACATTGATCAAATAGCCACTCATATATGATAACATATCAATATATGATAATATGATATGATATAATGCCGACTTACTTTTACCTTTTACCTTTAACCGATTACCATACTAAAAGTCATACACCCCACCCATGCAAATCTGTAAACACCCGAGTTCACCACCAACAGGTAACAAAATACCGTAAATACCCCTCGTGACAACACGTAAGGGAAACACAGAGCTGTTAGTATCTTCATCACAATCGAGATCACAATCTCCCGCAGCATCCAAACTCCCTGCAGCCGAGAGAACCCGTTTTCTCCTACCCTCTCGAATTTCATATGTGAATTGCATTCTGATGTATAGAATAAGCTCATCAGATAACTTAATAATGATTTTATAAATAAATCCAATAAGATGAGAAATAAAGAACATGTTTGCGTGTCCTTATCTTTTGTAGTGCATACTGATAGTTATATCTCCCACACCATCAACAATGGATTGCTTTTCATCATCCTTTTTCATTGATTCCTTCTTCTGTAACTCTTTCACTTTGCGATATTCATCATAGTACGCCTTTCTTTTCTCCCTAAAGCTTCTTGCACTCTTCCCACCTTCATCATCTGAACCCTCATCATATCATTAGTTTAATTTTAATTTTTTTTTTGAATAAAAGAAAAGCAAAAGGGTGAAGATGAAGGAAGTAGGAAGAACCTAGATCATGATCCATGACATCTGCTTCATCTTCATCATCTGAAGATGTCCATCCAGAATGGGAGTTACTGTTGCTACTAGAAGATGCCATCTCATTCAGTGCTGAACGAATTGCATCAACATTCAGTCTGATGTTGCTGTTATCATCTCCTTCAAGGAAACTATCAGAGCCCCCAATAGGAGATAAAGATCCTACAACAAGTCAACAACACTTGAATTAATTTACATAACAAATTAATAATTAATTTAAATTTAATGGAATGTGGGATATGTATAATATCATCAATATCATGCATCATAGGATGATATGGAGCTTTGGGTTCTGTGATTTTCTGTCTTACATGTTTATTTGCTTCAATTTCACCAAGGTTGGCTTCATCCCATCTAAAACCTCTCCTACGGCTTTTTAAACAACAATAAAAAAAAATATTAATATTATTTTAGTATAGGTGTACTTATACGTCATAGAATAGGAAAAATAATTATATTTCTAAAACCAATATTTTCCAAATAAAAAAAAACAACTTCATTACAGGAAAAGATAACAACCAACACAAAGGAATATATATATATATATATATATATATATATATATATATATATATATATATATATATATGCTTATGTCAATTTTACCGAATGTCTATTGTACTTAAGCTTCTGAAGTGTAAGATTGAAAAAGAGTTGTCTTAATTTTACAGGAAAAGATAACAACCAACACAAAGGCTCTTGCATCTTTTTCAGCATGTAATAAGGGGATGATTTAACCTAATATATGAATCTCATCTTTCACAACAGTTAATTCCCTTTCACAACAGGTAATTTGGGGAGGGGCCCATGGGCCTGGTAAGAAGACACAAGAACTTATTTATTTATGTGGACAGATGATGCACTAGATTTATCAAGTTTTATTTCATGTTTTAACATCCTCACCATAAGCTAATCAATTACTCAATATTGATGTCTATTTCTTTCTATAACAGCACACATCAGCCCATTGTATGAACTATTTAAACAACTGTAGCCTCTAAAACTCTTTCATTATCTGATCACACATTAGTGAACCTATGAAAACCTGTGATGGTATATGGTCAAATAGCACAATCAAATATCAATATTAAGCCAAAGCACTATGGGTAAGGAGAATTCCAGCAACTCAAGACATGATTTCTTAATTTTAAACTCCACCAAAAACAAATGATCAAAAGATTTTACGTACAAAACACATAGCAGTTTTTGCAATAAAACTGTAGCTTACCTGAGTGGATAAAGAGCAAGAGTGGGGCTGAATAACACGCAAAATAAAACCCTAAAATATACATACAAACATAGATTTTTGAGATGAGAAATAAAAATGAGAAAAGACGACTAACGAAATCTTTGAAGATAATGAAAGCGATTCTCAGACTCCTAATCTTTCACCGCCATTGTCGTTTTCCAGCTGTCATTGACGACGAATTCCTTAGTCATCGATTATACGTGATTTCCCCAAAGAACTCCCTCGATCTCAAGGGTTGGACCATGGTAGGAGACATCGATTGTTAACCCTAGTCGATTATTTCACCTAATCACACATCATCGATTGTTAGTTTCACCAAATATCAGAAGTTTGTTCCTTCGATCGTAAATGAAATAGAGAGAAATTAAGCCGGAAAGAAAAAGAGATTTAGCAAAGCTAGGGTTCTTATAGAAGAACGAAAACATTGAGAAGTTAGAATCAAGAAAAACATACCTTAATAAGACATAGGGCTTGTAAATTTGAGCAATAGAAGCAATGACCCTAAGGTCACCGGACCTAATGTTGCTGGCAAGGGCAGGCGAGGTGAGATTGTCGGAGATGAGGGGCTCCATCGGATGGGTGACGCTGGAAAGCATTGGACGGTGGGGAGGGGCTAGACGGAGGTCAAAGGTGGGAGGCGCCAACACCAAGAGAAACGTCGGAGATGGGAGAAGCTGTCGACGTCGATAACTGAGAAGAAGAGAAAGAGTTTGTCAAAGTGAGAAGGAGAGAAAGGGAAGTTGAAGAGAGAACTAGCAGTACAGGAGGGCATAATCGGGGCAAGTTCTTGAAAAAATCCCTAGCTACTAGGGAAATTAAAGTGGAGGGAGAAAAAAAAGGAAGGCGTGGATTTTAAGTTTTTGGGATTTCATTTTCCCCGGATGGAACGCGCGCGTTCTATTAAAATTTATAAAGCGACAGTCGTAGACGACATGCAGGTTCCCTCCGTGTTTTTTTTTTTTTTTTTTTTTTGTTTAGACACTAATTTTAGGGCACGCAAAAATGCGCATCTGAAATCCTTTAAATTTTGGAAGAGATTACATTATTTTTTAGACACTCACCTTTCCGTGTCATGGTTCGCACGTCGTAAAAGGCTATTTTTCTAGTAGTGGCAACTACTAGCAGCAGAGGCCAGAGCCATGCAAGCAGAGCACGAGAGGAATGAGGTCACCAGGGAGATGAGCGAGATGGCTGATCTCGTGGCGCGACATTTTGGCATATGATTTCACCACCAGACCCTTCTTTCTGCAAGTAGCATTCGTTCATCTGCTACCTACTACTGATAGGATTTTCTTCTATGTACTACTGTATGTACTATCGACTATATGATTAAGTGATTAGACAACTCATGGAGTCGTTACTCTGTTGGATTTTATATCATTTCATGTATTGTATGCCTTATGTAGGCAAATTTTCATGTACTCAAAATATTATCATTAATGAAAACGGCTATATATTTTCTCATGATGTTGTTATCTACAATGTGTTTTATTAATTTTACTACATGTTGATTGTATGCACTCACTTACTTACACACAACCAAATCACCGACACTGTTCTATAATCAAGAAATCATGAAACTAGAATACACTGGATACTCAACATCTTTCCGTTCCATGACAGAAAGATGCCTCGAAGACCGATCCGCATAAACCGCAACGCAACACCACCACCACCGCCTCCATAAAAAATGTACTCAACTACATTTCAAGCAGCAGTTCCAGCTGCAGTTACAACAATACTAGCTCATATTCATCACGGGAATAACGGAGGAGGTAACGGACAAGGAGTCGGAAGTTCAAATCAGGGAATGAACCAAGGACCCATAAGAACCTATACCTACAAAGACTTCACAAACGCCAAGCCTCAAAACCCCAACAAGGCGGGTGTCACACCCCCCAAACCAAGGATGGCGGAAACGTCTGGGGGTGGAGGACTTCATGTACAGTATCACAACAACGTGTATAATAGTGCTCAAAGTAAAAACAACCACCATAAATATAATTCCAAAAGTTACACCAAAGTATATGTTTATATGTTTCAAAAGCAATTACATTATGATGACAAAATAAGTTGTTGACGGTTTAGCGTCCCATCCTCAAAGCGATGAAGTTTTCCTGTTTCACTGATTTCCTAAGAATACAAGTAGTTTTAAAAAGTGTCAACACAAAGGTTGGTGAGTTCATAAGAGTTTTGTTTGAAGTAGAAACCGTTTTTCCTTGTAAAATCGATATAGTTTGATTTCCAGAAAATCCAATATTTTCTTAGTTAAGTATGAATAGAAATAATCCTACATGATGCATTAATGAACCTTAGAAATCCGTAGAGTTCCTCTATAATCGTCCAACATATATAAGTTATATAAGGTTTAACTTAGATAAAACGTTGAATATAGTGGGTCTGCCCCAGGTCCACAACCCAACGAGGAACAGGAGATGAGGCGGGCACCACCAATTCTAGGCCAATCATGACTAAATTCTTATATGACTCAAACATATACGCTCAGCAACTATAGTTGAAATCTAACAATTCTAGAGGAAATATAGTTTTATTATCATAATAACTTTGTATAGAGACCCGACACTTTGTATTTGTACCCATAGAGATAAAAGGTGATTTTAAATCGACATAAAACTCATTTAGGTTTTAAAAATAAAATCCCGTAAACTATTGGATTGTTCCCTATGTGAGCCGTTATAATCATACTATGACTATGTGAACCTGCCACGACGTTCTCAGTGTCGCGAAAAATAAAATGACATTTGTCACCCGTAGACCTGCAGGTCCAACTGTAGCTAGCAGCAAGGTGTGGGGTGTCAATCCCAATATAGATCTATATACAAGTATCACGTTCTCCCTCAAGGAGATTCTGATTATAACTACCAGGAATTATATCCCGCACTCGGACGTACGGGGAGAGAGAGAGAGAGAGAGAAAAATAGAGAAACTCACAATATAGGATAACAAGTTTACGTTAAATGTGTGTGAAATATAAATATTTCTTGTATGAATGTACCCTTCTTGTACGAGTGCGTAGAGTGATGTATCATAAACTATACCTATTATAGTTTATCTAAAATGTATGTAATATGTATGAATCCTTTTATGGAAATGTATTAGTGTTGTAAATATATTCAAACTATACTTTTTATAGTTAATAATACGTGTTCCAAAATGAATGAATAATATTTAATATGAATGTCTTAGTTTCAGTTCATAATGATAAACTAACTAGGAAACACATTCAAAATTAAAACTTATGATTATACACTTTGCTCAACATAATACAAAGTGTTATGATATTTACATGCTGTTGGCAAAATTTAGCAATTCTGCCCTGTTTTGGAAAAATCATAGAAAAATCATACGAAGTCGAAAACTAGATCCGTAAATTCTGAGAGTTCACAAAATGTGTCTAGTTTGCTCATAATTTTTATCACAATTTATAATGACCTCTAACTTGGGTGAAAAAGTCCAAATCACAGACTGGTCCGGATTGTTGTTTGAAATGATAGGCAGTTTTGTAAAAATCACCATAAATTGTAGAAAAATCGTATGGAGATGTGCAAGTAGCCATTTTAAAGCTAAAAACTTGAACTATTTGCACCTTGTACAGTTTTGAAAACAAAAATGTTTAAGATGCCCAAAACAGTCCGTGAATGGAGTTGAACTTTTCTGATGAAGGCTGTTAGAAAAATTTAGATATGTTCTTAGTTTTTAACTTGTATTCCCCCCCTGAAAACTTGAGAAAACATGAAAATGTAGGGGTATGAACTCACCTTGAGTGATTTCAGTAGTAAGTGTTGAAGAAGAGAAGTGTTCAACCCAAGAACACTTGAAGAATCACTTGAAGATTCGAAGCTCTAACGCTAATATGATGGAGTTTGTGTAAGATATTCATGATTTGAGTAGAATGAAGTGAATAATCATAAGGAGGATGAATTATACTTACTAAAGTGGAAGAACACTGAAGATCAGCCTTGAATCTCGATTTGGAGTGGGAAAAGTTTGAGAGAAAAGTGGTGTTTGATCTTAGTGAAATGAGGGCAAATGAGAGAAAGTGAGGAGAGAGGATGTTTGTTCAGCTCAAAAACGTGGGAAGAGGAAATTGAGTGGAAAGACATTGATGTGACCTAGGTAAGGTGGGAGGTGTGGTTAGTCAAAGAGTGGGTGTGAGGTGGTTGCTTGTGACTTTGGATAAGGCAAAGTCAACACTCCACCTTTAATAATTCACCCATTTGATTTTTATTATTTAAATAATGATTTTCATCAAAATATGTTTAAATTATGAATATTTAGAGTTTATATGTTAAAATATAATTTCTGGAGAAAATCCCGCTTTAAAATCATGAAAAACGGGCTTAAAATGTTAAAAATATCAAAAATGGGCTGAAAATGACAAAAATGCGAAGCCTGGCCGAGGTTCGGCCTCTTATGCTGAACCGAGAGAGAGAGGGAGGCGGAACCGAGAGAAGAAGAAGAGAGAAGGGAAGGAGCCGAGAGGAGAGGAGAAGGAGGGAGAACCGAGAGGTGGGAGGGACAGAGGAGCGCGCGAGCAGAGAGTGAGAAGAGAGCAGAGAGTGAGAAGAGAGCAGAGAGTGAGCAGAGAGGCGGAGGCGGACCGAGAGTGCGGCGCGAACAGAGAGTGGGACGGACCGAGAGGGACCGAGAGGGACCGACCGCTCGTTGTGAACAGTACTCTCGGTTCCGGTTCTTGCTTCTTGGGCTCGGTCTCGGTTCGGTTCAGCATCAGGAGGGTTCGGCTTGCTTCTTGCTCTCGGTTTCGGTTCTCTTGGCCACCAGAGGCTCGGTCTCTGGTCTCTTGGCCACCAGAGGCTCGGTCTCTGGTCCTAACAAGCCTCTCATTCCGGTTTCGGTTCCTAAAGCCTATTTTTCTCGTTTTCGCCCCGTTTTAAGCCGTTTTTGACCCGGTTAAGGGCCGGAATGACCCGAATGATTCCAAAAAGTTACGGGAAACTTTTGAGAGGATTTGGGAGAGATTTCTCACACTTGGAGAGATTTGGGAGAGATTTGACATTCTTGGAGAGATTTCTCATACAAAGAGATATTTGAGGAGATTTCACATACTTAGAGGATTTGGGAGAGATTTGACATTCTTGGAGAGATTTCTCATACAGAGATATTTGAGAGATTTCACATACTTGGAGAGATTTGGGAGAGATTTGACATTCTTGGAGAGATTTCTCATACAGAGAGATATTTGAGAGAGATTTCACATACTTAGAGAGGATTTGGGAGAGATTTGACATTCTTGGAGAGATTTCTCATACAGAGATATTTGGAGAGATTTCACATACTTGGAGAGATTTGGGAGAGATTTGACATTCTTGGAGAGATTTCTCACACAGAGAGATATTTGAGAGAGATTTCACATACTTAGAGGGATTTGGGAGAGATTTGACATTCTTGGAGAGATTTCTCATACAGAGAGATATTTGGGAGAGATTTCACATACTTGGAGAGATTGGGAGAGATTTGACATAGTCAGAGATAGAGTGAAAACGATTGAGAGGATCCGTGTGTGACAAATGTGAGTGTCCGGCATCGCAATGCATGGTTCGTAAACCATGTTAAG